GATATTATTTCCTTTGCTATTCTACAAACTATTGAGAAAAATATTTGATCCAATCTTACTTTGTCAAGCTCATCATAGAAATTTGAACAAATTTATATGTTTATATTTTAATATTTGCCTGTTAATATCACAAGGTGATTAATCTTTTAAGATGAGGACATATTTTTCTTTCAAGGCTCAGAGCTGAGTGAGCCCTATGAACAGGCAGCCAAGCGCCCAGTGACAAAAGATCCCTTCCTCTTTGGAGACTCCCTTTATCACACTCCGTAATCGAGCCTTAGAACCCTCTTAAACTGCACCATAATTGATTGTAATTTTGGTTTGCTTTAACTAAACTATCTCAGACTGTAGTTACATGACTTTCTCAAAACTGTTCTTTTCTTAATTATTATATTTAAATTCGAGGATACTTATAGATTCACATGAGGTTACAAGAAATAATACAAAGATCCTATGTGCCTTGTTACCGAGTTTTTCCTAATGGTAATAACATCTTGCAAAACTGTAGTATAATATCAACACCAGGATATTAATAGTTAGGATACAGAATATTTCTGTCACCACAGGTTATCCTTTTATAGCTTCATCTACTTCACTGAAAGTCCCTTCTTTAAATTCTATCAATCACTACTCAGTTCTTTGTTTCATACATTTTGACATTTGAAGAATTTTGTATCATTAACCTTAAAAGTAAAAAGTCAAAGTGAGGAGAAATACACATTAATTTGAAATCAAAGGATTGCAGTCATGTAATCACTGATTCAGGCAGAACCCAAATAGTGTTCCACATGCAGGGTGAAGTCAAGGAGTTTTATAAGAAAGGGAAAAAGAAACAATCGCATGAATAGAGAAAGGAATTTCTATTGATGTTAACAAGCTATATTTCTCCTGAGCTATACATGGTTGTTTACTGATTCTAAAGAATGTTCATAATCATTAGTCCTTGTGGTCAGGATGTCTACTTTTTCCTGTTAGCTTTACAGTTGTTTATAAGATAATGCTGATTTAGACCAGTCCAAATATTATTTTCCCCCAGACAAATATTCAACATGCTTCAAGGAGTAAGACGTGCAAAACATTTCCTCTGGAGTGGTGCCTCCAATTCAATTTTAGAATGGCTCTATTTATTTCACTTTTTACAATATAAATGAAAAAATATAGTCTTTGATGTATGGGGATTAGATGTTATTCTCCACATAAATCCCTGGAGATTTTTCCAAATTGTTTGACGTTTCTTTCTGTGGCTCAGTAGTGAATCTTGGATAAAAGCATTTGGTCCACAGCTAAGAATGGTGAATGCCAGAGGGAAAAGGGCTATTTAGCAAGTATTCTGATGTAGGCCAGAAGCCAGGTAAAGAGAATAGGTCTGACTAAAGGGTGGATCATTATACATGGGAATTCTTACAGAAGCCATCTAAATCTAGATAATATTGTAACGAAAGGTTGGTCATTGCTGGCAATATTTTGAGAAAATACCACCAGTTACAGCAACAGAATTTTAGAGTAGATTCAACATGTGACATAAAAAATAAAAGAAATTTGATGATTCTAATCTTTCTTGCTTTAAATGATCAGAATTAGTAGTGTTGACCCATTATTTTGAAAGTTAATACATCTAAAATGAGGTATTCTGACATTATGACCTATAAAATTATCTGTGATTTATAAGATTGGTCTCCAGTAGCATGCATGCACTCCACAGAGCACCATAATCAATAAAATGTGATCCACTTGCATGTATGTGTGTATGTATATATATTATTCAATTATATATATTAATATAGATGTAATTATTATATATAATATATAGATGTAATTATATTCTTGCATTATATATAATATAAATGAATATATAATATATAAATAACACATAATATATGAATATATAATATTAATACACACAGTAACATATATGTTAATACCTTATTCAATTGTATATTTGTATATGTTATGCATATTTATATAAGAATATATATTCATATATAAGAATACATATTCATATATAATTGAATTATATCTATAACTGTATATATTATTCAATTATATATGAATATTTTTATTATTCATACTTCTCTTTCTCACTGTTTCTGTTTATGTATATAGCAATTATATATAATTATATGTGATAACAAATATAAAGAGATTGAACTTTATTCCAATACAATTTATAGACTCACACTGGCATCCTTACTTTGTCTTTGTGATAGGGGAATTCGGAAAGAATTAAAGATTTTATTTTTAGTTGGTAAGTTTAAGTTATTAATGCATGTTGAAAGCTGTTATTCCAGGAATTGGAATACATAATCTAAGTAACTCCAGGAGGTTGACAAGCAATTCAACCTTTGTTGAACGGAGATGGTATTTGAGCCATTGTCTTCCAGGGAGGGAACACCTGTGACACAGGTAAAGAATTGTTGATAAGAACTTCTTGCCATGATGGAGGTGTAGGTAGATACACTTTGCTTCCTCCCACAACTAAAAGAAGGGAGACAACAAATTTAAAAACAAAAAACACCCAGAACGGCCAGAAAATCAAACTGTATGGAAGTTTGACAACTAAGGAGTTAAAGAAGAAACATTCACCTAAACTGGTAGGTGGGGTGTAGGAGTATAGCCATGGTGGAGAGGACATGTGACAAGGTGGCAGAATAGGCATGTAAGGTGGTGGCTGGTGGACCAGATGGTCCTGTATTTGTGTGCAAATAAACCAGGAGGAACATCTGGAGGATGAGACAGACAGCACAACCCAGGGTTTCAGTGTAGGAAACTAAAGCCTCAAAACCTCTGGATGTAAAAACCTAGGGGGGTTGCAGTGGTGGGAGGAACTCCCAGCTTCACAGGAGCATTCATAAAAGAGACCCACAGAATCCTAGAATGTACCTAAAGCTACACAGTTGGGAATCAGCACCAGAAGGGCCCAATTTACTTGGAGGTAGTGGGGGAAGTGACTGAAGGTTGGGTGAGAGAGCCAAGCAAGCAGCATTGTTTCCTCTCTGACCCCTTCCCCACAGATAGCTCAACAATGTAGCAAAGTGGGTTGTCATATCCTAGCAAATACCTAAGGCTTTGTCTCTTACAATGTAACAGATGTGTTGGACAAAGTAATATGGCCCAAATGAAAAAAAGATCAAAACTCCAGAAAAAGAACTAAGCTACAAAGAGATAGTTGACCAACCTGATGCAGAGTTCAAAACATTGGTAATCGGGATGCTCACAGAAATGATTGAGTATGGTCGAAAATTTGAGGAAAAAGTGAAGGCTATACAAACTGAAATGAAAAATATATAGTGGGCCAACAGTGAAGGGAACCAAACTGGAATTCAAATCAACAATTTGGAATAGAAGGTAGAAATAAACATTCAACTGGGAGAGAATGAAGAAACAAGAATTAAAAAAAATGATTAGAGGCTTAGGAATCACTGGAACAAATTTAAACATTCCAACATCCAAATCATAGGAATGCCAAAATTAGAAGAAGAAATCCAAGAAATGGATAACTTATTTGAAAAAATAATGAAGGAAAATTTCACCAGTCTGGAGAAGGATATGGATGTTCAGGAAGTCCAGGAAGCTCAGAGAGTCCCAAAGAAACTGGACCCAAGGAGAAACACACCAAGACACATCATAATTACATTACCCAAGATTAAAGATAAGGAGAGAATCTTAAAAGCAGCAAGAGAAAAGGAGAGAGTTACCTGCAAAAGAGTTCCCATAGGACTATCAGCTGATTTCTCAAAAGAAATCTTTCAGGCAAGAAGGGGCTAGAAAGAAGTACTTGAAGTCATGAACAGCAATGACCTACATCCAAGATTACTCTATCCAGAAAAGCTATCATTTAGAATGGAAGGACAGATCAAGTGCTTTTCAGACAAGGTAAAGCTAAAGGAGTTCATCATCACTTAGCCCTTATTATACGAAATGTTAAAGGGACTTATTGGAGAGAAAGGAGAAGATCAAAACTATGAACAGTATAATGACAACAAATTCACAACAAATCAACAACTGAACCTAAAAGCCAAAAACAGAAACAAAGTAAGGAAACAACAGGAAGAGGAACAGAATCACAGATATGGAGATCACATGGAGGGTTATCTGCTGGGAGGGAAAGTAGGGGAGAGTGATGGAAAAGATACAGGGAATAATAACCATAATTGATAGTTATGAAATAGACAAGAGGCAGTTTAGAATAGTATAGGAAGTGGAGAAGCCAAAGAACTTATGTGTACCACACATGGACGTGAACTAAGGGGGGGAAGCTGGTGGTGGGGAGGTACAAGGCAGAGGGGGATAAAGGGGAAAAAATGGAACTGTAATAGTTTAATCAATAAAATATACTTAAAAGAAAAAAATACATGAGGAAAAATAGTTGTTGATCAGCAAATAAAGAAATACTAGGAAAATCATCCCCAGACTGCAACTCTTATCCAATTAGCCTTTTTACCAAACCCCTTATAAAAAGATTGGCTTGAAATGAGCTGTTAAGATGTTTTTGAGAGTACATAACCCACCATTTTATCAGATCAGCGGCATCTGAATAAACCCTCCCCCGCCCCAGAGAATCAATCCTTGTCTTTACTTAGTGGCTCTGGTAGTGAAAGGCAGCACAAATGCTGATTTTTCTGGTTTCACTCATGTCAGATGATCATGAGTCATGTAAGATGGCACTACAAATATTCTGAGGAAACAGAGAATTTCTAAGATGACAAAAGAGTTGACAGTGGCACTCTCAATTGTTGTTTTAATTGAGATGTAATTGATGTATAACATTAGTTTCAGGTGTACAACAAAATGATTTAATGGTGTATATATTGTGAAATGATCACCACAAGTGTAGTTATCATCCATTGCCACACATAGTTATCATTCTAAGTTATAACAAAGGGAAATTAAAGTCTTTTGGGGGGAATATTTGGTTCCATTCAATCTATCATGAAGACTCAAATATCTTCTTTGCAAGTTCAAAGACCCAGAGCTTGAATTAAAAAAAATAAGCAGGTAAATTTATAATTTTAAACTTTATTTCATTTAGCCTTTAAGAATAGTAAAAACTTTGTGGAAGGTAGTTACAATCATAGAGACAGTACTGATTTTTCATATGTAGACTCTGAAATTCTTTGAATATTCTATTGAAAATCACTAGCATTATTAAATGAGGAAATGTCACATGGAGTTTTCTTTCACCAAATGTTCAAAGAGATATTGTTCTAATTTAAATACCATCAAAGGTGTTGGACAAAGAGCACTTATTTCTTAGATCTCTGATCGAAACTTCAGTGTAGACTCTTTCATTTTCTTTTCATAATCTTCTTCAAACTTCTCATATTGGGCTACAGTAAACTTGTTTTTCCAGTCTCCTGCAATACCTGAAAAGAAAGATAAATGGTAAATTTGAGATTACTTTCAAAGTTTCTAAGATAAGTTTTAATTTGAATGATCACTCTTACATTTTTAAGTTTTTAACTTTAGAATATATTTGTTCCACAACTCTATTTCTTAACTCCTACTCCCACTTCCAGACTCCTAGACCTTCTTAGTTTTCCAAAAATTTCTATGAATTTTTCTTGGATCTCATATAAAGAAGAAAATATTTTTTAAAAGATTTTATTTATTTATTTTTTAGAGAGGGAAGGGAGGGAGAAAGAGAGACAGACAGAAACATTAATGTGCAGTTGCTGGGAGTCATGGCCTGCAACCCAGGCATGTACCCTGTCTGGGAATCAAACCTGCTACACTTTGGTTCACAGCCTGCGCTCAATCCACTGAGCTACACCAGCCAGACAAGAAGAAAATATTTTAAGAAGCTCCAAGAAATGTCACTGGGAGAATACCCAGTATATCAAATCTTTACTCTTTGGCTTTAAGTGATTTGTTAACATAGGATAGAGAGAATTTTTCAGTCTTTTTAAACCTTATTTTTCAATGTCAAATGATATTTATTTTAAAAAGTTCTATGATGAAGTAAGATTGGAAAATTACTGGGTTAAAAGTAATTGAACATATCTTTATTATAGGATTGTTCAATTTTCAAAATATTAACCATATTTAAAATCTCAAAGGAAAGATACAGGACATAGAATTTGCAATAAATATGTAATAAAACAATGCCATTTTCATAGAATATGTCCAAGTAACCCAGAAGATATATCTGGAAGCTGAGGATTTCTCAACTTTGGAATTTTATTTGCATCTGCACTCTTGGCATTTGAAGCTAGACCATTATTATGGGGGTGGTGTGGGATTTCTCTCTGCATTGTATCATGTTTATCAGCATCTTTTGTTTCTACATATTAGATGTCAGTTATGTACCCCTATCATGATCATCAAAAATACCTCCAGATATTGCCAAATGTCTCCTAGGAGGTAAAATCTTATGTGCTTGGGATTCAGATATCCCCAGCAATGCTTAGCTATGGCATACTTACTTTTTCAAAGAAAAATCTCTAGAATGCATGATGACACATTGTAATTAAATTTACCCTTAATAGTTCCCTTTGTAGGCTCTCACCAAAACACCTGTTTCTCCAAAACTGTCTCAGTTTGGATGATTCATTCTCTCATGTAAGATTTTACATCTCTGACAATTGTCATATGTTGTGTGATTCTTCCTTGCCTCTCTAAGTGTGGGCTTAAATTTTTGACAAGCTTTGGCCAATGGACCTTGAATAGGTACAATATATACCATATCTGAACAGAAACTTTTAAAAAGCATTACAAGTTTCCACTACCTCACTTTCTCTATACCATAATGTTGGTACATCCCACAAACCAGCAGCTCTTTCAGCCTGGGTTTCAGAAAGAGAAGGCACAAGAGGTTAAGCCCATAAGAGCCAATGAACACTGGTCAGACTCGAAAAGAGCTGAGCACAATTGCAATAGCCAGAGGTGACTAACAGCCACCAATATTAAATGAAAGTTAATCTTGTGGTTTTAATTAACTGAGACTATTGGAGTTGATTTTATAATATAGCTGACGAATACATAGAGAACTAACAGAATCTGTCTTCCTCTCTCTCCCTCTCTCTCTCTTTCTCACAGCACACAATTCAATACAACTCATATTTATTATTTATTAAAGTACTATTTTGTGCAAGATGATAGTTACACATTGAGTTCAAGGCCAAGGATGCAATGACTTGCCATAATCATAGCAACAACCTCAAGATGTTGACACTTTCCCTCAATTTAAAATGTCTAACATCATGTAAACTTGCTAACTGCCACCACAAAATTTCTAAGGAATGAAGAATAGATATCTGGATAATTCAGACAAGTGAAGGACACTCTTCTGATATAGAAATTTGTTTCAAGACTCATGCTTCTTGATATAGAGGCTCCTGAGTAAACATTTCTTACTAGAGACTTGTCTTACATGTTAGTATTACAGCAATGATAGAGTTTATTCACAATAAATTATTTTCTCTTAAGTTTTTGGTTCCTAATTTTTCCCTCAATCTCTTTCCATTTCTCATAATGATGCTCCTATTAATCCACCTATTCTCCCTTTCATGTGACTAGCAAAATCTATAGGAGCTAAGATATGATGTTCTCACCCTTTCTCATGAAAGGAGACACAGTTTGATCCATGTCAAATCCTGGTACAGTAGTATAGTTTGCACAAGGATTCTGCTTCATCACATCAAAAGAACTATGATAGAGGATTTTATTCACAGTTTCTTCTGGCAGGTCTTTCTCTAGAAACTTTAACAACTTCTGAATTTCACGCTTTGGATCCTAAAAGAATATAAAAACAAGGCAATATTTCAGGTGGATCTCATCATGAAGTAGGCAAATACATTCAATTAGGTTCTATATATGTCAATATGGTAGAGGAAATTATTTTATACTTTATCCACACTTTCATTTTGCATTCCTGGGTACATATTCTATTCTTGATTGTAATAGGCAATCATCTGCTGTAAGAAATATGTTTCAAAAAATGCAAATTAAAATATTGAATTAATATTTAACCTTTCACATTCAAAAATAGAATTAACTTACAGAATAACAGATGGCAACAAAGTAAGTTACTATTTTGAAAGTTATAATTTACAAAATCCCTCAGTCTGTTTCTTTTTTTTTCATAGCTAATATCAAGAACAGATTACCTACTAAAATTTTAGGAAGAATTAAATCCTTTCAGAAATTTGTAAATCCTTCTCAAACTCTTCAAAAAATAAAAGAGGAGGGATCAATTCTAATCTCATTTTGTAAGACTAACATTACCCTGATATGAAGCCATACAAAGGGAGTACAAAACAAGAAAATTATAGGCTAACATCCCTGATAAATATAGATGCAAAATACTAACAAACAAAATTTAACAGCACTTTTTTTTATTAGCAAAGCATCTATAATGTTTATTTCATTTGTATCCTGTTTCTTTTTTTTCCTTTTTTTTTTCTTGCACTTTTAAAGGAATGTGCAACCATGATCAGATGGGTCTGATCATGGGCCTTTATAGTTCAACAACTATAAAGCAATCAAAGTGATACACCACATTAACAAAATGATGGATAAAAATTACATTATCTCAATAGATGCAGGAAAAGCATGAGATGAAATTCAACATTCTTTTATAATAAAAACTCTCAATTAAGAACTTAAAGGGGCCATGTCTCCACACAATAAATGCCTTATATAACAGGCCCATATCTAATGTAATCAGTGATAAAAGCTGAAAATAATTCCTCTAAGATTAGGAATAATTTTTAACTACAGTTAATAATATTGTATCATATATATGAAAGTTATTAAAAGAGTAGATCTTAAAAGTTCTCATCACAGAAAAATTGTAATTATATGTGGCGATGGATGTCAACTAGAATTTCTGTGGTGATCATTTCACAATATATACACATATTGAATCATTATGTTGCACACCTGCAACTAATGTTATGTCAATTAAATATCAATAAAAGAATAGATTACTTGTCTCAGAGAGTTCTCTTACAGTGGAAAAAAGATACTCTTTATACCTCTCATACCCACATAGATATTTTTTAGATAGTATGAAGATATTAAGACAAAGTGAAATAAAATCCTGTCCATTTTCCAACCTAAAGAATGATAAGGAGGAGAAATAGGCAGCAATGAAGAAGAAAGGCTACTTTGGTGTATTTATTATGCTTTTTTCTATTAATTAATTAATTTATGTTGATTATGCTATTACATTGTCCCCATTGATTTTCTAGTTATCTATTCTATTTATTTATTTTTATTGATTATGCTTTTACAGTTGTCCCAATTTTCCCCTTATGCCCTCCTCCACCAAGCACTGCCCAGTCCCTCTATCGATCCCCGCTCTTTCTTTCATGCATATAAGTTCTTGGGCTACTCCATTTCCTATTCTTATTCTTAACACCCCCCTGCCTATTCTGTAACTAACAAATAGTATTTCTTAAATCCTGACCCTTTTCCCACATTCCCCCATAACTTCCTCATAGGCCAGCATCTCAATATTCTCAATATCTGTGATTCTATTTCTCTTCTGCTTGTTTGCTCAGTTTGTTTTTTAGATTTAATTATTGGTAGTTATGTGTTTATTGCCATTTTAATGTTCATAGTTTTGATCTTCTTTGTCTTAAATAAGCCCCTTTAACATTTTATATAATAATAGTTTGGTGTAATATCTGTTCTTTGATTCTAAATGATAGCTTTGCTGAATAGAGTAATCTAGGTTGCAGGTCTTTGCTCTTTATCACTTTGAATATGTCTTGCAAATTCCTTATAGCCTGCAAAGTTTCTTTTGAGAAACCAGCTGAAAGTCTAATGGGAACTCCTTTGAAGGTAATTATCAGCTTCTCTCTTGCTGCTTTTAAGTTTCCCTCTTTCTCTTTAACTTTGGGCATTTTAATTATTATGTGCCTTGGTATGGTCCTCTTCATATCCATCTTGTTTGAGACCAGCTGTGCTTCCTGGACTCGTATGTCTATTTCCTTCACCAAGTTAGGGAAGTTTTCTTTTATTATTTTTTCAAACAAGTTTTCAACTTCTTGCTCTTTCTCTTCTCCTCCTGGCATTCCTGTGATATGAATATTGGAATGTTTGAAGTTTCCCCAGAGGGTCCTTACACTATCAGTGATTATTTGTATTATTTTTCTACTTTTTGTATTGATTAGATGTTTTTTCTTCCTAGTGCTCCAAATCATTCATTTTCTTCTTGGCTTCATCCACTCTGCTGTTGATTCCCTGTAAGCAGGGGTATCCAAACTTTTGGTGTCTCTGAGCCACTCTGGAAGAAGAAGAGTTGTCTTGGGCTACACATTAAATATATCATGACATTATTATGTGTCACAGTATAATCTCATAATGTTTTAAGTCAATTTAAGATTGTTGGGGGACCTGCATTCATAGACATCCTGGGCCACATATGGTCCATGGGCCATGGGTTGGATGTCCCTGTAAATGTTCTTTATATCAATTAGTATTTCTTTTCATTGCTGCCTACATCTTTTTTTATGCTGTTGAAGTACCCACTGAATTCCTTGACCAGCCTTATAACCAGTGTTTTGAATTCTGCATCTGATAGATTACTTATCTCCATTTTGGTCAGTTGTTTTCATGGAGTTTTGTTCTGTTCCTTGATTTAGGCCATATTCCTTTGTTTATCATTTTGACAATTTCCCTGTATTTTTTCTATGTACTGGGGAGATCTACTTTGAGTCCATGTCTTAGTAGCATGGTCTAATATAGTAGGTGTCCTGTAAGGTCCATTGGCATAGCGTCTCCTATCTCCCAAGCTGTGTTCTCAAGGTGCACCCTCTGTGTGGGTTGAGTACTCTCTCCTCTTGTAGATGAGTCTTGATTGCTGTCAGTCGGCCAATGGATGGGATTTATCCAGTTCAGACAGTTGATAGGACTGTCTATGTCCTGTGGCAAGCAACTATCTCCCTTAGCTCTTTGTGGAGGTGGTTGGGTGGCACTCTGATGTGTTCTGTAACTGTCCACTGGGTGCACAGGCTCTCAGGGTTCCCTAGTGGTTCAGGTCTAGGTCAACCTCCAATTGTGTTCTCTCTTGGGCTTCTTGGCGTAAGCTATAAAACAATTTGGAGATGGCTACTGCTAGTGCCAGGCCTTGGGGCAGTCAGATACAGATACAGGGGCTGGGCTCAGCAGTTGTGTTTTTTTTTTAAGCACATTTTAGGAAGGTCTCACATTCCTGTACCTGTACTTCAGATTGTTCATAGAACAACATGTTAGATAAAATGAAAGAATGGTGCTTAGGCCAATGAGTTTATACCCTGTTGCCCACTGGGAGGTATCTTGGTGGTACAAATCAAACTGAGAAATAGAGCCATAATCTTAGTGACTTGGTGATATCAGGAAGAAGGGCAATCTGAGTTTTATCTTTCCTGAGCTACCCATCTCAGTTCATGGAAACAGAACCAGAGAGTTTCTGCAGTGGCTCTAAAATGATCTATTTCTTCTAGCTCCAGAACCAAATTTGCTGAAAATTAGACAAAAACCTTACTTATTCTAGTGGAAGAATTACTGAGAAAGTTGAATTTCTAGTTGTGCCACATCTATCATGTGAAAATTAAGTGCAACAGTGATAAAGAAAAGGTAGACTGCTCAAACTTGTAGTGAGAATTTGGGGCAGGTCTGATGACACAAAGACTCTGAGACTCTTGGGGTATTGTGAGCCTTTCTGGCAGCAGATATAATTTTCATCCCATATTTGAAGAAACTAAACTTCTTTTTCTGAAACCTTATTATGACGTCATTTGGGAATTTTCCTTTCAATAAAATGCTATCCTCTTCAGGACCCACTCCAACCACTACTTGTTGCTTTTGGACTCACAAGTAGGGTAATATTTCAGTATAATTCAAATTCATAGGTACAAAGTAACTTGAATAGGATGCAGAAGAGACTGACAATTTGACTACAAAATCTACCAGGGGAAGATCTACCTTAGCTGAGTAAGGTGGTTTCCTAAAAGGCTATATATTTGATTTTCCAAATAAAAGATGAATAGTAGTCATAGCCATATAAAGGAATTTAGAGGAATCTAAAGGATCAAGATGAGACTGAGTCGAGGTTCTAGAATCTGAGCAACTGAGACATTTAAACCAGATACATTGTGGGGAGGCGGAAGTCAATGGACATTGTTTCCAGGGATCCCAGCTATCCTCATTCTTATTATGACTTATATAATTTATCCTTTTCCCCCTACACATAGACATCATGTTAAAGAGAAAAGAGAGGTTTAGACAAGCTATCTGAGAAAAATTCAATTTAAGAAATGTGGAACATTATTTTAATGCATTTATTCTGGTAACACTGATTAACAAAATTATACAGGTTTCAGGTGCACAATTTTACAATGCTTCATATCTACACTGTATTTTGTTACCAGTCCAAGTCAAGTCTCCATCCATCACCACTTATTCCCCTTATACCCTCCACCATCTCCCCACACCACCCTCAACTTAGCAATCACCACATTGCTGTCCATGACCATGAGTTATTTTTCCTTTTTTTTTCTCAACCCCACCCCCTGCCCACCCAGCAACACACCACCAACAGCTTTCAGCCTACTGTCTATGCATGAGGAGATATGAAACAATGTTTTTTAAATGGATCATTTAAATAAATCAGAATAAATTTTAGATAATATTAGGGAGTGAGTTATCTTCCATTATAAGAGTCAAATGAAAGATGAGAAAATAAAGACTAGAATAAATAAGGAAATTACATTGTTTCTCCACTGTGCATGCCACTAGGGGAAACAATTATGGACAAAATAATTTGAGTCTCTACATTCATGGAGCTTACATTACAGTAGAGGAGACAAGAAAATGTAAGTAAAGAAACACATTCACAAAATAATTAGAAGTGATAGTAGATACTATGAAGAGAACAAGAGCAGCAAAACAAACTCTAATAGATAATAACAAGGTAGGATACTTGACATTTTGGCAGAAAAGGAACTTTGTGAAGAGTAACATTCAAGTGAAGACATTAAATGAAGACATTTCCTCACAGAGAAAGGAATTGGTGGCACCTGTAGAAGTTGGAGAGATTGACAGGAACTAAATAATGTTTAACTTTATATATTACCTTAGTGATTTTATATTTCACAAAGAGATAGAAGCCATGGAGAGATTTGTAAAAGGAATTTGGCAGTATTTTGATTTAGGTTTCAAGATCATTCTCTCTGAGGGGAAAATAGACACAAATGAGACAGTCTGAATAAATCTAGAAAGTTGCCTGAACTAGAATAGGAAGCAGTGGTGGTAGGAAGAAGTGGATGGAGTGAAAGATGAATTCTCAAGGCAGAGTTAGCAGGATGCTAGATTAGTTATATTTATAAATCAAGAGGAGAGGAAAATGTGATACAGAGAAGATGAAGCTTAGGTTTCTTTAAAAAATTAAGTAAAAATTGTGGTTGTCTCTTACCTCTTTCATGTCTTCATAGAATAGGTAGAGGATACGATAATTGTTCCTTTTCTCCCACCAACCCTTCACATGGTCATACCAAGAACCAAAAGCCACTACATTAAAAGATAAAGTGCTTGCAAAGTTAAAACTATTTACATAAAAAATTGTTAAATTGTTGAATGCTACTTTAAGTTATTGTTATTAATACATACAGACTGTTTACTTATTCATTTAAGAAAAAGAGGCCATAGTATAATGGAAATATATCAAATCATCCCTACTCTCACTGAATTTACAGTCTAAAAAAGGATGAAGTACTTCTATTATGAGATGAGTTGTGTTCCCTGAAATCCAATCAGTACTTTACAATATGACTGAGTTTATGCATGTCACATGTAAGGAGGTAATTAGGTTAAAATGAGGTCATTAGGGTAGGTCTTAATCCAGAGGACTATTCTCAAGCCTTAAAATCTAATGGAATTTGCCTTAAAATCTAATGGAAACCTATTGCTAGGTTTCAGGTCTTTTTTTCTTTCTGATTTCTCCTTCTTTTGTTTCATATGAAAATGATTATTTATGTCTGTCCCACCACTGCATTTTCTAAAATTATCTGTTTTCACAATTTCACAACCAAAAAGGAATTTGGTCTCAAAATGAATCATACCATAACTCCGACCTATACCATTTGCATGATACTTAGATGAGATTTTAGATTCAGAGTTGATGCAGGAATAGTTTGAGACTTTTGGAGCTTTGGAGATGGAATGAATGCATTTTGCATGTGAGGACATAAATTTTGGGGGACTGGAAGGCAGAGTAGTATGGCTGAATTGTGTATACCCCAAAATTCACATGTTGAAATCGTAAGCCCAGCACCTCAGAATATGTCTATATTTGAAGATAGTGTCTTTAAAGAGGTAAATTAAAATTAGGCTATTAAGGCAGGTCTGTAGAGGTTCAGAATGAGTCTCCTCAAGGTGTGTCATTTTGGTATGCAGATTATTTTAAATTAAAAACAATCAAGGCTCAGAGGCTCAGGAAGAAACTCTAGCCTTGCCTTTTACTAACTAAAAGTATTTAAAATAGTGGCCAAGTTCCAGAAGGGAGATGTCATCATGGATTATTCCAGTTTAATATGAACTAGGAATGGTAGACAGGAAGGAAGCTAGCAAAGCCCATTTAATCAAAGCTCTTCATGTGTCCCATTGTTTTAATACAGCCATAAACATTTGATACTAAAAACCTCTTGTACATTTGCCTTACTTCCCTGGTTCTTCCTTCTTTGTTCAGAATTATATATATATATATATATATATATATATATATATATATATATATAATTCTGCCTTCCTGTCTTTGAATTGTTCATTTTTATGTGAATTGTCCATGTGCACATATTAAAATTTGTCTTCCTTTTTGTTAATCTGCCTTAGGTCATTATAATCATTCTACCATCCAGAAGAACTAAGAGGGAAAGGGGTAACTTTCCATGTCCCCCAAAAATCCTAATCCCATAGGACTGGTCTCCTTATAACAAGAGGTAATTACAACACAGACATAGACAGAGAGAAGAACATATAAAGACACAGAGAGAAGACATCCATCTGCATATCAAAGAAAAGAGCCTCAGAAGAATTCAATCATGAGGACACCCTGATGTTGGACTTGAGCTCCAAAACTGTGAGAAAATAAATTTTTGTTGTTTCAACAATTCAGTATGTAGTATTTTGTTGTGAAAAATGCATACAACTTTTGACAAATAAAACTAGAAGAGCAAAATGGCAGAGAGTAATTCAGACAATAAGCAGTATAGATGTTCATAGCAGAGGAAAACAAGAGAAAAGCATTGGGATGGAGATCTGAAGAAAGGGCTCTGGAGTAGGCAAAATATATCTGGTTCTAAGAACAGTAGCAACTTCACAGTGGACATACCTGGAAGGCTAGGTGATCAAAGTTAATGCTACCAGAAAATGATAAACTGACATCATGCATTTCTTGATATGGTACAATAAGAATTCCACAATACCTCTATAGTGCCCCACGAAAAATTCATAACTTCAATATAATCATGAGGACAAACCAGACAAACCTCCATTGAGGGACATTTTGTAAAACAACTGGTGAGTCCTATTTTATGACCTTTACAATTGTAAAAGTCATAAAAGACAAAGATAGACCACAGACTAAAGAAACATGAAAACTAAATGCAATGTGTGGTGTGTGATTGTGAATTGGATCATGGACTAGAAATTGCTATAAAGAAACATTATTGGGACAATTGACAAAGTAAGAGTAAGGTCCATAGATTATAGTATTGTATCAATATAAATACCTGGGTTTTATCATAGTACTGTATTTATGTAAGAGCACATCCTTGTTCTTAAGAAATACATTTGAAAATACTTAGAAAAAAAAAAGAATGAGTAGATATTCTATGGGTAGAAAATAGTCCAAACAATAGCAGGAGTAAAAATTTGGAAGATATCATTGGGGTGCATTTGCCTTGAAAAGAGGCAAATAAACATTTTTATTAGAAAATGTTTATATGAGAATTAAAAGTAGAGTTATTACCACAGGTATGAGTAAGTTTTCCTAAAAGAGAGGATGCACAGATAGAAAAAAGAAAACTTTACAGATAAAATCGCCATTCAAGAATTGTGTTTATAAAACAAAACTGAAGGCATGGTAAAGAAAAGAGAGTCAAAGAAATATGTATAAAATCAAAACAATAAAATGACTCAGACAGCAACAGAAGAAAGTACCTAGGAGTAGTCACCAAGTACTAATGAAACAATGAGACAAAGGGCTGAAAAATCTGTGTGTCACATATTCCTCAAAAATCCTTAAGAGAAAGAGATAACTATGTACTCTTCTATTGTCTTCCTAATACATTAGTGCAGTGCCCAGCACTGTGTATAATAAATACAAAATTATATCTGAATTTTATATCTCCTCATGAAACAACAATAACACACAAAAACATCTCACCTTGTTTTTTATCATGGAATTCCATGATTGATTAAAATAAAAGTTGGACTCACCATTCCCAGTCATGAATTTATGCAGAAACTCCTCCCAGGTACCAGGCTCTGGGTGTAATTTTGCCATTTGGTAGAAATAATAGTAAGACACAGCCACGTCTTTAGCATTCCGTGCCACGTAGACCATCTGCGGGGAATATGAGAAATCATAATTTTCTTTCTATCCTTTATAGTTTGTAAATATTTGCTTACCTTGACAGAATGCTTATTTTCTCTTTCTTTTTTTCTGATCTGGGTGTGTATATCTATGTCCTGATATAGGATGTTCACAACTACTTAATTTTCTTAATGCAAAAATTCTCAACTCTCACACACTCGTGTTCTCTTTCCTTTGAAAGAAAAATCTCTTGAAACATGGAAAGCCATGGATAATAAGAATAACAGTAAATATTAAATTAACAAAACAATATTTTTCTAAAATTTAGAATATTTTTGTGTATCATCACTTATCAAAGCTAAAGAACAATTTTTAAAGTTGAACATACCTTATGTTTTATTAAAATAAATTATTATTTGGGTAAATTTCATCAATAAACATTAAACATTCTTCATTCTCCCCATGTTTATAATGATTAGTGTGAGATTAAAATTTATTTTATGTTGAAGGCCTCCCATGTTCTTATAGGCAGAAATTTTAAATATATTTCCCAGTAGAAATGACATTATTATGCTTCATTGATAATTAAGTTTTCCATAAAGTCTGCTGACTTCCATTAAGTCTAATTCTCTCCTGAAACATACCTAACAATACTGAGTTTCCAATAACACACGTGGTAAAAATATTTCTAAGAGAAAATGCATTCAGGAAGAAATCTCCATTTATCTTAGCAAATTCATATTTTCTTCTTTTTCAACTGAGAGGTAAAGGAAATGAGAAGTTTTATATCCCCAAGTCACTGGTAGTAGTTCTCATATTCTGGGACAAGAATGAGAGAAGGAAGGAAATGTCTGGAAAGGGATTTTCAAAAGATTGATTATGGAGTTCTAACAGTTGAAACTCTGCTGCTGATGTAATTTCTTGAGAAAATGCTACACCTTATAAACATTACCAATTTCTTCCTATTTCAGTACCCAAAAGTTATGGTAATGAATGCATTGTTTTCTTTTCCTATCATTATCACTTTAAATCTTTAGTAAGCTCTGTTTCCACTTGCCTCAGGTTGGGCAGGAGGCTATCTAGAAGATATCCCCCAGTTCTCTCAAGAGCAAGGCTATAGATTCTGGGAGATTATATAGTTTTTTATTTCTGGAATAGAATGATAAAATATATTTCTACTCTCTTATCACTATTGTTTTTTATTAGACTTTAAGTGAAAAAAGAAGGAAAACATAAACACATGAACAAAGACTAATTATATAACAAAGTTGAAATTATAATCAATTTTTCAAAAGAAAAACAAAAGATGTTTTGGTCATTCCATTAAAGGTACCCCAGTAAAGCATACTCTAAACAACTTTCCCATATCTAGGATTAATGACTGCCTACCTTCCCAAATTCATTTTTTTAACCACACTGAACCTCTTGTAAAATTTGACACACATCTTGCTGTTTCAAATCTGCCAGCCCATGTACACAGAATTTTCTCTCTGTAAAATGACCTAGTGCATCCAAAAAAAAAAAAAGATCCTACTTTTTTTTAGCATGTTGATTAAATTTTTCTTCATCTATAAGATGGTGTTGTCCCATATTAGCACTTATATTTCTATATGTAATTATTTTTCATAATTACATATAGTAATTTTTCCCCACTATTTGCTTTTCCCCCACTATTTAAGGTACTCTGCAGGACCATATGCTATTTAAACCATTGAATAATGTAGCATAGAAAAGAGACTTGCAAGAAGACAAAGATCAATAGTATCTGTAGAAATTAAATAAGACAATATTACATAACTCAGATATCTAATATCTGAGATATTAGATATTAGATAACTCTCTTAGATAACTCAGAGAGTATCTTATTCATGTTTGCATTTGTAATGATAATCAAGGTGTTAGGATAAAAGATTTATGTGTGTATACTAGGAACAAATATTTAGAAAATAATGTAAGGGTGTTTGTATATGTGCACATGTATATGAGAAAAATAAAGAATACTGATATATCAAAATACTTAAAGAATAATTATATTATAGATATGAAATATGTTTAGATTTAAATGTAATTATTGAAACAACAAGGCTTATAGAAGTAAACAGAAGAGAGAATATCATCATGATTTGGGGGATGGCATTCTTAGAAACAAATACAGAATACTCTAACATTGACAGAAAAAAATTTTATACTGACATACTTACTAATCTCAAAATTAAGATATTATTGTAAAATTGTAAAAGGAAATACTGAGTGAGTTATGATATAATGAAATTTAAGAGATCCAAGATGCTGGTGAATTAAGTGGAACCTACATTCATCTACTCCCAGGAACAAACTGAAAATGTAACTAAAATATGGAAAAATCAGTCTGAATAACCAACTGAAGTCTAGCTAAATAGAAGTCTTATAACAAAGGATTTACAGAGGAAGTTATATCAAGACTGGTAGAAAAAGTGGAGATTCAGAAAAGGCTGGACTGAAACCAAGACTACTTTACCCAGTAAGCCTATCATTTAAAACTGAAGGAGAAATAAAGAGCTTCATAAAAAAACAAAAAAAACTAAAGTAGTTCATTACTACCAAGCCAATATTATGAGAAATATTAAAGTGTCTTCTTGAGGAGAAAGGAAAAGGAGGAGGAGGAGTAAGACAAGGTGGAGAAAGAGAAAAAAAAGAAGGAGGAAGAGGAGGAGAAGAAAGAGAAGGAGGAGGAAAGTAAGAAGGTCAAGAAGAAGAGGAAAAAGAAGGAGGAAGATAGTTGTGAAGGATAAAATGGCAATAAATATGTGCCTATCAATAATCACTTTAAAGGCAAATAGCTTAAGATCTCCAATCAAAAGACATAGGGTAACTGGACAGCTATGTGCAAAAAATTGAAACTAGAGCACCAACTTACACCCTACACAAAAATGAATTCAAGGTGGATAAAATATTTAAATATAAACCATGATGTCATTAAAGTCCTAGAGGAGAACATATATCCCTCAGGGAAATCTCAAGATATTTCACACAGGAACATTTTTACTGATATGTCCCCTAGAGCAAGGGACATAAGGGAAGAATAAACAAATGAGATCTCATCAAAATAAAAAGCTTCTGCATGGCTACAGAAAACAGTATTAAAATAAGAGAATCAATCATATGAGAAAACATATTTGCCAGTGATACCTCAGACAAGGGTTTAATCTCCAAAATATACAAAAGAACTTACACGACTCCACTCTAAGAGGACAAGCAACCCAACTAAAAAATGGGCAAAGGACTTGAACAGACACTTCTCCAAGGAGAACATACAGAAGATCCAGAGACACATGAAAAGATGCTCAATATCACTAGCTATCAGAGTGGTGTAAATTAAAACCACAATGAGATACCACCTCACACTAGTCAGAATGGCCATCATAAACAAAGCAACAAACAACAAATGTTGAAGAGGTTGTGGAGAAAAGGGAACCTTAGTGCACTGTTGGTGGGACTGCAGACTGGTACAACCACTACGGAAAAAACAGTGTGGAATTTTCTCAGAAAACTAAAAATGGATCTGCCTTTTGACCCAGAAATTCCACTGCTGAAATTATATCCTAAGAACCCTAAACACCAGTCCAAAAGAACCTATGTACCCCAATGTTCATAGCAGCACAATTTACAATAGCCAAGGGTTGGAAGCAACCTAGATGCCCATCAGTAAATGAATGGATCAAAAAACTATGGTACATTTACACAATGGAATTCTATGCAGCAGAAAGAAAGAAGGAGCTCCTACCCTTTGCAACAGCATGAATGGAACTGGTAAGCATTATGCTAAGCGATATAAGCCAGGCAGTGAAAGACAAACACCATATGATCTCACCTTTAACAGGAACCTAAACAACAAAACAAAGAAACAAGCAAAATATAACCAAAGACACTGAAATAGAGAACAGGCTGACAGTGATCAGACGGGACAGGGGAGGGAATTTCAGGGGAAAAGGGAAAGGGTTTACAGGAACAAGTATAAAGGACACATGGACAAAAACTAGGGGGAGTGGAAATGGGAGGGAGATGGGGAGCACTGGGGGGAGGTGGGCTGGGATGGGAGTAAAAAATAGAAAACTGTACTTGAACAACAATTAAAATAAAATAAAATAATAAAATAAAATAAAAGTCACCCAGGAAATTAAAGAGTTTAATTAAAACTAAAATCTCCCTTAAAAAAAAAAAACATAGGGTAGTTTTGGATAAAAAAATAAGATATATATAATGTATAAGTGAGGAATCTCAGAGTGAACAAACACACCGACTAAAAGTAAAAGGATGGAAAAAGAGATTTCTTGTAAAAAAATAATACTTATATCAGACAATAAACTTTAAAATAAAGACTATAAAGAAACAAAGAACACTATGTAATGATAAATGGATCAAGACAATAAAAGGATATAACCCTTGTACACATTTATGTACCCAACATAGATTCAACTAAATATATAAAACATATCTTGATGGACATAAAGAGAGAGACCACCAATAATACAGTAATTGTAAGGGATTTTAACCCCTCGTTGACATCAATAGATAAATCTTTCAGGTAGAAAATCAAACAGGCAACAGCAGCCTTAAATGACATGCTAGATCAGAATAATTTAATTGGTATATTCACAGTGTACCAATATCAGTAGAATATGCAATATTTTTCAGTGCACATGAAACCTTTCCTAGGATAGACCAAATGTTGGGATGCAAGACAAGTCTCAATAAATTTAAGAAGATTGAAATCATATCAAACATTTTCTCTGACCATAACGGTATGTAACTAGGAATCAATTGCAAGAAAAAAAATGAAAAACACACAAAGATAGAGACGCTAAATAACAGGTTACTAAACAATGGATGGGTTAACAGTGAAGTCAAGAAAAAAATCAAAACATACCTTGAAACAAATAAAAGTGAGAACAAAACAAACCAAAAACTCATGGGACACAGCAAAAGCAGTTCTAAGAGGGAAATTCAAATCGTTACAGGCATATCTTAGAAACAAGAAAAATCTTGAATAATTAAACAAACAACAAGCAAAGATCAAGGTGAGTAGAAGAAAGTAAATAATAAAGATCAAAGAAGACATAAGTGAAATATAGTCTAAAAAACAATACAAAAGATCAATGAAACCAAAAGCTAGATCTTAGAAAAAATAACTAGATTGAAAAATGTTTAACCAGACTCGTCAAGAAAAAAAAGAGAGAAGACCCAAATAAATAAAATTACTAAGGGAAGAAGTAACAACTGACACCAAAAAAAAAAAAATACAAACTGTTGTACAAAAATATTATGAACAACAATAAGACAACAAAGAGGGGAATTTGAATGAAAGGGATAAATTCCTAGAAATATACAATGTTCCAAATCTGAATCAGGAAGAATCAGAGAATATGAGTAGATTGGTGACAAATAATGAAATTGAGGCAGTAATCAACTCCCAATAAACAAGAGTCTTGGACACAGTGGCTTCAAAGGTGAATTTTACCCAATAATCAAAGAAGAACACCTACTCTTCTCAAACTATTTTTAAAAATCCAAGAGGAGGGAAGAATTCCAAACTCTTTTCATGAGGCCAGGATTACCCTAATTCTAAAACCAGAGAAAAGCACTACAAAGAAGGAATATTATAGGACAATAACCTTGATGAAAATAGATGCTAAAACCCTTAACAAGATATTAGCAAACCAGGTCCAGCAACATATCCAAAGGATCATACACCATGATCAAGTAAGGTTTGTTTGGATTTAAAGTATCAAGGGTAATCAAGGTTGGTACAATATCTGCAGATTCATTAAGATGATACACAATATTTACAAAATGAAAGATAAAAACCACATGATCATATCAATAGAAGTAGAAAAAGTAAGCCAGATACACATAATGAAATGCCTTGCATTAGTGGTTCTCAAACGTTAGCATGAATCAAATTCACCAGGTCTTACTAAAACCCAGATGGCTGGACCCCACCTCCACTGTTTCTGATTCAGCAGGTCTGAATCAGGCCTGAGAATTTTTACGTTTCATGAGCTACTTTTGCCCAGGTTACCATATTTTGTGATCCAGAAGGCTACATTAAATAAAACAGAAACAAAAATAATAAGAATGATAAGAATTGATCTCACAAATATGTTAAATGAAATTAGCTAAATATTTAAGGCTATATATTTGATAATTACAGACAAAACAAGCAAACTAATTCATGGTGAAAACTTTCTGGAGAGGGATTATCTTTGGAGATAGGGACTCTTCCCTAGAAATGTACTGGAACACAGCTTTTAGGGGCTAGTAATGTTCAATTTCTTTTTTGAAAAATATTTTACTTACTTTTAGAGAGAGGAGAAAGGAGGAAGAAAGAAAGAGGAGGGAGAGAAACAATAATGTGTGAGAGATACATAGATTGGTCACCTCTTGCATGCATCCCATGCAGAACCTGGCCCACAACACAGGCATGTGCCCTGACTGGGAATCTAACTGTAGACCTTTAGGTCCGCAGTCCAGAGCTCAGCCTACTGAGCCACAACACAAGGGTGTAGTGCCCAGTTTCTTGATCTGGGTGCTGGTTTCTTGGTTATGCTTGCTTTGTGAAAATTCATCAAGGTATAGATTATAATATATGCTCTTTCCTCCTAATATTATTTTTTAATTAAATTGATTTTTAAAAAAGAAGTCTAAAACTGATCCATAAATTATATATTTACATGTAAAATATATATAAATTTATAAATAAAAGTAAAATATAAAATTTAATAAATAATTGATATAATTTATAATATATACCATATATTATATATAATTAAATGTAAATGCATATTTTAATAAATATAATATATAACATAAGTATATATTTATAAATTCCTACTACACTGAATTCATAAATAAGCAGGTCTGGGGTTATTTAAATATCTATTGTTCATAAGTGATGAAGAGATTTAGACAGAAAGACAGGCAGTTTAGACAGTTAAAAACCTGAGAAAATCTCAGGGCTTTGGGTGCTGAGTGTAACCCATCAACCAGCAGCACTGAAATCCATTGGTATTTCAATCTTTAGGCTATAGGGACCACAGTATTATTTTTCCAATGATTTACCCAGAGGTTGAAATCCCCCATCTTAATGTCTACATAGTTAGTAAAAGAAACTACAACACAAATAAGGATTTTTTTCTTAAAATTTGCTACCTTGCAGTTATTCTTCCAAAATGAAGAAGGAAGAAGTTGAACAGGCAGGTGTGTTTTCACTAATCGAGGAGACTGCATGTTTTTCAAAGACTCAATGCCTACAAGCATAAAAGTTAAATTACATTATAAATGTGGAATCACAAAGGTCAATTACAACATAATCTAACACTTTGTAAACTTTAACCTAACTACCTGGCTTGAAATGGCTATATGGCTAAAGGGCCACATATAATTCTAAAATATGCAAAGACATGTTTTTAAATGATAAATCCTGGTTAATTAGGCTGTTTTATTGCCTGTGAATAGCAGAGTTTATTATCTTTATAAGTGTCTATAAAATCATCAGAAATATCTTGATGGGGCAGAAACAACAGTAGGTCAAGTATAAAAATGTCCAAATTTTCTTTCATTTATTTTCCTTTTTGTCTCATTTACACTGCAGGAAATTCCTTTCCAGCTTTCTTTTTAGAAATTTTAAAATACCTTTTTAAAATTTCAGTCGACATACAATGTTATATATTAGTTTCATGTGTATAACAGTGATCATACATTATAATATCTTACGAAATAATCATTCCAATTTAAGTCTAGTACCATTTATAGCCCCATGTCTATTTTTATAAGTGGCAATTTGTACTTCTTAATCTCTTTCCAACTTTCTTATATTAAATTTCTGAAAGTTGTGAGGTTCATGGCTAATTTTAAAATTGTTGATAATGTAGGACCTTATATGCACACAATTCTTTTTCTTGAGTCTGTGAACATCAGCTAACTAGCAGCAGATATGATAGATTGAACACAGAATTTTTACTGTATAATGATCACTTAATATTCAAATGTTAAAAATTTTCTCTTGACCTGTTAAAAAAACATACCCATCAAAATCTATTATATAGATATTATATTTGGATGAAAGAGGAGTACAGTATGGTTGTTAGAATAACCAAATTCTTACTCTTCTGTTATAGAAAATTGTGATTCGGCTGTTCAAGCTCTGCCTGTATCATTTTCTATCTGGACTCCTCTAGACACCACAAAAAGAAAAAAAAAATACAGGGGAATTTACTTCTGTGGTGAAAAGGAACGTTAAGAGAAAATACCATTTTCCATTCCAGGTACTATAAGTTCCATGAATGGCACTCGGTCGTATATTGCACCCCGTTTACATTTCTCTGCATCTCCATTGTTATAGATCAAATCCAGTATTTCACTGACCCAGGTTGTGCCTGAAAAACAAATAGAAAGAACTCTAAACTTTGCTGTCAAACAGAGTGTGAGAGGGTCGCAAGAAGTTCTGTAACATCAACAACAAAAACATGCTCTTTGTATTTATTCCTTTTCCCTCTTCTCCTTTCTCCTAGTAGACATCCATGTCTATCTTGAACATATACATATGTATTGTGTGTGTAAAATCTGATTAAAGTACTCACAAAAGTAGAACTTCAAAAGGAAGTAAAACGTGGGGCATAAAAGAGACATTGTGGGCCCTGGCTGGGTAACTCAGCTACGTCAGGGCTGATGTGCCAAGCTTGTGGGTTGGAGCTCTGGTCAGGGCACATTTAAGAAGCAACCAATGAGTGCATAAATAAGTGCAACAACAAACCAATCTCTCTCTCTCACTCTCTCAAAATCAATACATAAAATTTTTAAAAAGAGAGAGACATTGTGTAAGTAATAATAGCTCATCTTCCTGTGGGGGATAGATAGGAGAGCAGCTAATTTTAATGATTCTGAACAGCAGTTTGTACATTTCCTATTAATATCAAAAAGACTATTATTCTTTGGGACTGAAGATTACTTCTGGTGAAATGTTTAACATTTGGTGGAGGGGTGAAGAGAAACAAGGGGTTGAAGGGAAACAAAGGGAACTTTTTGTGATTGTATCTGTGGTGATCGCTAACACCACAGATTGGATCTGTGGGACACTAACAAAATCAAAGACTGTGTGTCCTGCTTGAGCACAGTGGATCAAGTCACTCTGATCTTTATTAACTGCATCCTCAGCCTTTGAGAAATGGATCTAAAGTACATGAGCATATGGTCTACTTAACTATGTGACTCGATGATCCAGTTATCAAGGTACTGCTAAAAAAGCCATTACAAGACATAGGGGACAAATATCTCCTTAACTCTTCCCATTTCCTTCCTCTTTACCAAATGTGTAACTGATAATCCCTAAATTGAATAATCATGTGTGAAAGCTAAAAAATTACACAAAAATAATTGATGTATACAAACAGCAAATTTTTAGGAAAATGACTTGCATTTGGAAGTACCTTTGAATTGTTTCCAGATGTTAGAGTACTTTGGGCCTCATTTTTTTAAAGATTTCATTTATTTATTTTTAGAGAGGGAAGGGAGGGAGAAAGAGAGAGAGAAACACCAATGTGCGGTTGCTGGGGGTCATGGCCTGCAACCCAGGCATGTACCCTGAATGGGAATCGAACCTGTGGCACTTTGGTTCACAGCTCGCACTCAATCCACTGAGCTACTCCAGCCATGGCTAGGCCTCATTTTTATTTAGTCCTCTTTATGGACAATTCTTACTCCTTCTTGTCTCTAAATCATGAGTACAAGACTCTCATCCCCATCCTTCTAACTCAGAAAATTACAGTGTTAAGTAAAAGTTGAGGCATGTCAGTATTATACCTGAATATTTTGTTGCCTGATCTGGTTTAGGCTTAAGCAGTGATTGACAGAACAACAGAGACCTAAATTCAACACATTTTCTATCAGTAGGTGGTTCAGATTTTGGTCTATGTATCTGATCAGAAGAAATGCCAATATAGATATGCTTTGAATTGAAAGTGTTTATTTTCTGTGACTGTAAAAAAAGACATGGTTGAGTGCATATAAAGAGTTAGTTAACTTGGATCTTAACTTGGAATAAAATAAAAGAAAAAGAATGACCAAAGAGAGTTATGATTTATTTATTTGTGGCCATTTAGCCATCTAACATTTAGTACATCAGGAAAAAAGTCAGCTTCAAACAGTACCTTTGTAGATGAACTATTTGTGTACTATACCAGCCAAAGATTATCTTAATGGTTTCCTATCTGTACATATAACAAAACCAGATAAAACAGATTAGCATGTACATTCTCAGTGATTGCCCTCCCTTTTCTAACCTTGTATCTCAACAGGAAAATGCAAAGTAGCTTTGGTTCCAAATAATTAGGGTTTGGGGAACTGCTCAGAGAGCAATGTAACTAGTAAGAAAAGAAAGAAGGAAACAAGCTTTTGCCAAAACAAACTTGTTTTTCATTTCTGCAACAATCTGTATGGTTCGTTTGTGTACTTTCTGGAAGGCCCCCATTGCTCTCACCATGTTTGTAATGTTGGCACATCAGAATCCCATGAATTCAGGGCTTTCATCTCAGAACTTGTTATATATCCCTTTGAAGTAATTTTAATATTTATAAGCTAAAAAAGATCAGTGGTTAATATGCTAATTAAAAGCATCTTTTTCTCCTTTCCATTTAGAAATGAGACAAAAATATAAATAAAAGTTGACATTAGAGTTTAGTAATTAGAACAGTGACAGATCGTGGGTTCAAGTAAATGAGCTGGTTAACAGGTTGAAGACAGCCTCATCTCTGACATTTCTCTATGTCTATCACTGGGTAAACTGGAAGACTCTGTCACAAAAAGATCTGAAGAAATAAACATTGTTCTTACGGCGTCATCTTAAATTCTCTTTTCTGAGAGTGTATACTAACTACAGCAGTTCTTTAAATTTATAATTAAGTACTTCTAAACATATTTATAAAACATTTAAAGTAATAAAATATTAATATTTAAAAAATATTTTCAATGAACGTGTTTAAACATTAAAATGTAGAGGAGTATATACATATCCATATATTCATATTCCAATATACCACTATCATTTTATATTCAATTTTAATAATTTTTATTTGAATTCAAGAAGGAACACAAAACAACAGCATTAATTTTCCTTCATATACAGCCTGCATTTAATTGCGGGCCTTTCAGAATAAGAAGTGAATTTATCTAATTTGGGACAAAATTATCCCAGCAACAGCTACAGTGTTTGCTTGACAAGTGATCTGCAGAGCAGCGGGCTTACACATATGGATCAATAACTGATCAACAAGTACAGACAACCTTTGAATGGTGAGGGGATTAGGGGTGTCGATCCTAACTTTGGACTCTTCCAGAACTTAACTACAGACATCCCTCCCCAGTATTCACAGGAAGTTTGTTTCGTGACCATTGCAGATACCAAAATCCCCAGATGCTGAGGTCTCTCATGTAAAATGATGTAGGACAATGCATGCAGTCAGCTCTCCACACCCACGGATTCCCATCTGAGGATAACAAATACAGTTTTCAACCTGTGGTTGGTTGAATCAACTGATGTACAACCCAAGGCTATGGCTGGCCAATGGTATATTTTTTTAAAGAAAATTCATATATAAGTGGACCGTGCAGTTCAAAGCCATGTTGTTCAAAGGTCAACTGTACAAATAAATAAAAAAAGCTCTTACCGGATTTGGGGTAGGTGGAGATCAAAAGGTCATCTGGTCGGGATTCAAATGACTCCACCTGGGACCACTCCTCAGCAATGCTCCAGAAGAGAGGGACACCCTGAACTTCCACTAACTCTCTTCTGTAAATATTTGGCTTGTTGTCCATTTTTGAGAGACTAGATTTTATATGAAAGGGCACAAGTTAAAAAGTCTTTGATTTAATATCATTATTCAATAAAAAATGAGTTTTATTAAGTGAAATAATATTCATTCCTCTAGATCCAGCAGCATCAGATCATAGTACTACTGTGCATTATGAATCAGCAGAAGGAAAAAAAATGTCTTATAAAAGCCATTGAGGTCTTGCACCATTTATTTTATATGCGCTGTTTATATAGTAATACCATCAGTTCTTTTTATGTGTACTTAATTGTGTACAGCTTTTCCTCAGGCAAAGATTTCTGGGACACGTGATAAAGTTACAGGACCTTGAAGTGTCTTTCTTCACCACCACGCTGTAATTCATTGCAGTGGGAATCTGAATTAGCCCCCTAATTGCACTGAGCACTTTTAACTATAAAACCAGCAGTAGCCTAACCTGGTACTTCCTTCTCTTTAGTCACTCCCTGGGTTGGTAAAAGTAAATTATTCTAAGTTATCTCTAAGATACTATAAGAATAAAAGGGGGTCAAGAAGAAAAGAACCCGAGGTAAGCACTGGAAGTACATTGCTGTGATGAACTTTTCAACATTAGTGATATCATATGTCATTGTATATTCTTCTGATGTTATGTGTAAAAAAGTGGAAAAGACTGAAATATAACTTAAATCCTACTCCAAAATATATTGTTTCCCAATTTAGCATGAGCTGAATGGTTATTTTTCTTTCTCTAAAGTTCTAGGAAAACGATTTAAAAGCTTCCCTGAGGCCCTTTAGCAGCTGCTGAATTTTTCTGCAGTAATTAAAATCAGAAGTGTCTGAAGTCAATGGACATAACTTAGCTTGCACCTTTTTGCAAAGTGCTAATATTTTATCTTCTTTTTTTATTTCTTTATATTCCACCGTTCTCCTACCTCATCCAAGTCCCTTTTGATTTTAAAGATTTTGAAGTTGCAGGATACAAAATCTTACATAAAAATCTGTTCTACATCTATATCCTTATAAAAACTATCACAAAGAGAAATTAATAAAATAGCCCCATTCTCAATTGCATCAAAAAACACAATACCTAGGAGCAAATTTAATCATGCAAGTAAAAGATCTGTATAGTGAGAACTATAAGAAACTAGAGGAAAGAAACTGAAAAAAACCCCTAATACCTGGAAAGATATTCTGTGCTCATGGATTGGAAGAATGAACATTGTTAAAATGCCTGTACCACCCAAGGTAATCTACAGATTCAATGCAATCCTTATCAAAATTCCAGTTACATCTCTTAAAGAAATAGAACAATCCTAAAATTTTTAAGGAAACAAAAAATACCCAAAGTAAACCAAAGCAATCTCAAGAAAGGAGAACAAAGCCAGACAGGCATGTTGCTCCATGATTTCAAACTATATTTAAGTGTGGTATTTGATATTTTTGACCATATATGTTTCTGACACTTTCTTGATTTTTATGTTAGTATATTTTGGTTGATCTTTTATCTCTTTAATTCTCAACTTTTCAAAGGAATATTTAGGACAGAATTGTTTTCCTTGGAGTCCCATAGTTCCTAGTTGGCTCTCTTTTTGTACACACATTTCCATGATTTTAACCACCCCCTGTGAGCTGATGCTCCAGAAGGTAGATTTATCATTTGTTTATTCTGGGACCTACATATTCAAAAGCTATTGTGCATTTCTCCCTAATGTTTCTTAGACATCTCAAATTTAATAATTACAAATTTAACTCATGAACCTTGCTCTTCAGTGACCAGTTCTTGTCCTTGAGTCACTATGCACCTTATAACTTAGTGATACCACATTCACCTCACCACTCAAGTCGAAAATCTGGAAGTTATCATAGATCTTTCTTCCCCTTGGCTTTTCCAGATCCAATTGGCTCACAAATCTGATTTTTCTTTACTTTCACGTATCCCTGTGAAAAACAGCTTCTTTTCATGAACTAGCTTAGCAGTTAAGACTGTAAGGTCTCCAAATTTATAATTAATATGCTATATCTGTTATTTATTACCAATGTGACTCTGGGCAAGTCGAAATTCCGAATTTAATTTTCTAATCTTAAAAATGGAAGTGAAGATTTACTAATTTATGCAGCTATTGTGGTAGAGAAATAATATGATAGACATAATGTCTATGTTCATAAAACATGGTATATATTCAGTAAAGGGTAGCTATTATTAATATTATTATTATTACCCATAAAAATACAGGTGTATCTTAACATATGTCCTTATCATCATAAACCCTGTACTATGGCAATGGTCTTAAAATGTGTCTCCTTGTCTTTCAGCTCATTTCCTCCCTTCTCCCTGCCACCTCTCAGTAAGAAGTCTTCAAAAACCTGAGCACAACCACCTCACTGAAAGGGTCAAGTTTCAAGAGCAGATCCTCCCTCTGATTACCTCCACACTTAGACTTTAGCCTCTAGCAAGAGGCAGCCAAAAAAAAAAAAATCACCCACCCCTCACATCTAGCTGTTGCAATTGTGTGTTTCTTTCTTTGAGCTGATATTGTTACTTCTCTTATCTATCTGGAGAATTCCTGTTTGTTTCTCAAAATCTTGTACAAATTACACATCCTCTGAAAAGCCTTCCTCATGACCTAAAAACAAATCTCTCTTTTCCATTAAAAACTTCCTCTTTTCTATTTTCTTCTCTTTCATATACTGGTATTATTTTATACATTTTTAGTGTGTTGTTATTATCAGTTCACAATGTCTGTTTCTTTGATTAGAAATTAGGGTCATAGTCCCGGGAGTCCTTTCCTTTATTGAGGTTAATAAATATATACTGAAATGAAATGAATTTCCCCTAATTCTCTAGGAGGAATAACCAGGGATTGAACTATTTTATGTTACCACTATAACTTTATAACTTTGGCTAACAACATAACACTGTGGGATATACTGGAAAGTATCAGTCAATAGGCCATAAACCCACTCAATGAGGAGTTTATATTCCAAATCATTGTTCAAAACACACACACTCTCTCACACACATACAACCCCACAACCCTGTTTTCAGTATATGTATTGTTATTTAAGTTTCATAAAAGCCTTCCAATTTAAATCCTATTTATCCCCATTTTATCAAGGGGTAAATTGGCATAGAGAAAATTAAGAAACTTGCCCAGGTCACACTGTCAGTAAGTGGCAGGACTGGATTTGAGCTCAGTCTGACAACAGAGTCAGCAACATTAATTACTTTTCTGTACTACCTCTTAAATATAAACATTGAAAAGATAAATTCCAATACAAAGCAACATAAGAGAATTGTCATATTATGTTAAGGTGGTTGTCAGGTCTGTAATACAGGTAGTGTGATTTGATTTTTGACTATGAAATTTAGTTAGAGATACAAAAGAATATTCTTGGTAGATTTTTTTCCCTCACTTATCTTATTATTTTATTTTATTTTTTTTATTGTTGTTCAAGTGCAGTTGTCTGCATTTTCACCCCACCTCAGCTTTTGCCCCACCCATCCCTGCCTCCCAACCTCGAACCTACCCCCTTTGGATTAAATTTTGAAAACACAATTTTGAAGAGAATTCATTGTGGTATATAATGTGAATATCCACAAATAGTATAAAATTCAAGAATTTTCTTTTTAAAATTTTTGATAAGTTTTCTTCACACGTTTCTTCACAAAATGAAATAAGATGTTAATTGTGTCCTTTACTGAGATGCCTGAAATTTTTGCCCAGTGGAAATTTGTGGGAAAGCTTTAGAGAGCCCTAAAAGTTAATCAATAAACTGTTATTTAATTTAAAAAAAATAATATTCTAGGCAAAAAATATAAAAAACAGTATTTTTTTGCTCAATATTTTATACATTAAGGTACTTTATAAATTTATGGAGATTTAGCATACTATAGTGCATATGAAATGACTTTTAGAAAACCTGATTCACACTAATGATTTATTTCAATAATATTTTATTTGTTATTTATATATTTTAGGTAAGTATAAAAAAATTTATTAGAGCCATTTCTAAAGGGACAAATTGTATATTTTAAAACTTGTTTTATGTGTGAAAGCTGTATAATATTTTAATTTAATTTATGTATTTTTTATAACTTTTGGAATATCTGTTTTGTTAATATCTGGTTATTTTAGGATATCCTTTGAAGAGGAACTAATCACATTAATGTATTCAAATTTTGCACGAGTTCAGTAGTTTAAATTAGCATTACAACTCCTACAACACCCAAGCAGTGAAGTCAAATTTAACTTACCTTTAAACTCCTGAGAACTTTAAATGGTCTTCAGGTTAAGAATCAAAGCCAAAAAATCATTAGAAGGATGATACCCTTGAGTGGCATATAACACTATGTGAGAGAGATTGAGTTGGTAAAAGCTCATGAAATGTAGATGATCATGTTTCTTAGGAATCTTTTGTTTACTTCTGTGAAGATGTCCCTTGACATACAACTTCCTCTAGAGCATAACTGTATGACCATGGAAACAATTTAATATCCTTCATGCTGTGAAAGTCATTGTTAGTCCATGTTTACCTGACTGAAACTATTGACTCTTATGCCCATTGGTGAGTTACAGGTAGAAGCAGAAAAATCAAGTTTCATGGTTTGTGAAATATTGTACCTCAAGATATGAGGTACAATAATTTTCTTGATGACTAATTTTTCTTAGTCATTAAGAAAAATTGAATAGAGAACTGAAAATGCATTGCCGTATTCTCTTAGAAAGTGATATTTTTATATTTAACAGATTCTTCACCTAAAAAGAACAGGTTTTATTAGCTTCTTTTTAAAATGTAAATGTTAAACTATTATAAGGATAGGCTGTGTTTGTGGGGGGTTTCTAAGCATAGCATTGGGAACCTGAAGACAAACATTAGAGCCCAGCTCTTCCACAAACCTGCAGTATGACCTCATACATACCTCATATTTCTGAGTCATATTGTACCTGCCTAAAAAATACGGCAAACACACAAAATGATCACTCCAGTTTGTTTCACATCTAAAATTATACAACTTTAAGTGAGATTAATACTC